ATATCTGTATTGTTTTTCTTCCCATTTAAAAAAGGTAATAACTATAAAATATAAATATATCATCATATTATAATATAATGTATTTTACTTACTTCTCTCATTTTTGCATTATTGGTACAAATCATTATTTTTTCATAATATATCCTAATAATACTCCCATGAGGAATATTCTCAATTCACGTTTTTATAGCTCTGGAGTACTCCTGTAGGATATACCAATGTATTTAACCACTCCATTAATTGATGAACCTTTGGATTGTATCTGATCTTTTGCATTACAAAAGTTCTGCAATTAATGGCTCAGGTTGTATCCTTTTTGTAATTTTTTTTTCCAGTATATCTTGGGTAGATTCCTAGGAATACACATAATTTTTCTAGATATCAAGATTCTACTCCATAGAGGTTGTACCATTTTGAATGTTCACTAGCACTGTATACGAGTGCTTGTTGTTCCACAGGCCTTGCCAACAAGAATATGTGTATAACTTTTGAATGTTTGTTTATTTCTTTAATATTTATCTTTGGTTTTTAGCAGTTTTACTATGATGAAATTATGTATGGTTTTACTGTATATTTATTTGTTTGGGATTTATAAATGCTTCTTCAGACTATGTCTTGGATGTCTTTGACCTTTTTGGGGAAATTCCCTCAGTCATTGCCTCTTCAAATATTGCTACAGTTATGTTTGATATTTTCCTGTCTTTAAACTCTAGTTATCTGGGCCTGGGTGGCAGTGGCTCATGCCTGTAATCCTAGCGCTCTGGGAGGCCAGGCAGGTGGATTCCTCGAGTCAGGATTTCAAAACAAGCCTGAGCAAGAACAGACCCGTCTCTACACTAATAAATAGAAAGAATTAATCGCCCCCAACTAATATATATAGTAAAAAAATTAAGCCGGGTGTGTGGCACATGCTGTAGTCCCAGCTACTCGGGGGAGGCTAAGCAACAGTGATTTCTTGAGCCCAGGAGGTTGAGGTTGCTGTTGAGCTAGGCTGATGCCACAGCACTGTCGGCCTGGGCAACAAAGTGAGACTCTGTTCTCAAAAAAACAAACAAAACAAAAACTCTAGTTAACATATAAATAAACTTTCTCTATATCTCATTTACTTTAATGCAGAGTTGGCTGAGTTTAATTTTGAATTACTTGCATTTTTAATTCTAGAAGTTTTATATAATTATTTCTCATAATTCACAGTTCTTAAATGAATTTCATCATCTACAAGATGTCCCAAAGTATCCATACAAAGGAAAATTTTTGTAAAATTTTGTAACGAATACTTTGTAAATAAAGTACATTTAGTTACACATTTCCCATTTTCTGCATGCAATGTTACTTTTTTTTTTTTTTTTTTTGACTAAAAAAATTAGCCGGGCTATGGTGGACGCATGCCTGTAGTCCCCAGCTACTCGGGAGGCCCTGAGGCAGTAGGATCGCTGAGCCCCAGAGATTGAGGTTGCTGTGGAGCCAGGCTGACGCCACGGACTCATCTAGCCTGGCAACAAGTGAGACTCTGTCTCAAAAAAAAAAAAAAAAGTCAACATGCATGCGAAATGGGGAAATTGGTAAATAAATGTCCTTTATTTACCAAAGTATTCGTTACAATATTTTACAAAAATTTTCCTTTGTATTGGATACTTTGGGACATCCTTTGTAGATGATGAACATCATAAAGAACTGGAATTATGAGAAATAATTATATAAAATTTCTAGAATTAAAAATGCAGTAATTTCCAATTAAGAACTCGCATCTGCATTAAAAGGTAAATGAGATATAGAGAAAGGTTTAATTTATTGTAACTAGAGTTTGTTTTGTTGGTTTTTTTGAGACAGAGTTCACTTTGTTGCCCCAGGCTGAGTGCTGTGGCATCAGCCTAGCTCACAGCAACCTCAACCTCCTGGGACCTCAAGAAATCCTGTGCCTTAGCCTCACTCCCGAGTAGCTGGGACTACAGCATGTGCCACCACACCCGGCTATTTTTTCCTATATATATTAGTTGGCCGATTAATTTCTTTCTATTTATAGTAGAGACGGGGTTCGTTCTTGCTCACTCTGGCTGGGTTTGAACTCTGACCTCCGAGGAATCCACCTGCCTGGGCCTCCAGGAGCGCTAGTTACAGGCCTGAGCCACTGCACCCAGCCCAGTAACTAGAGTTTTAAGACAGGAAATATCAGACATAACTGTAGCAATATTTGAGAGGCAATGACTGAGGATTTTCCCCAAAAAGGTCAAAGACATCAAGACATAGTCTGAGAAGCCATTATAATCCCAAACGAAGATAAATATACAGAAACCCATACATAATTTCATCATAGTAAAACTGCTAAAAACCAAGATATATTAAAAGAAATCAAACAAACATTCAAAGTTATACAACATATTCTGTTGCAAGGCTGTGGAAACAACAAGCCCACTCGTATAGGCAGTGCTAGTGAACATTGCAAAATGGTAGCAACCTGCTATGGAGGAGAATTTGATATCTAGAAAAATTATGTGTATTCGCTAGAATCTAAGCCCGCAAAGATATACTGGTAAAAAAAAAATTTACAAAAAAAAGGAATACAAGCCTGAGCCATTAATTGCAGAACTATTTGTAATGGGCAAAAGA